CAAAACGGAACAAGCTGGGGCCTATCAGCAATCCAGTGGCATTTTGGGTCTCTCAGGCTTCCATGTGGGTTTTGATTTTGCGAACCATGCGGAATGGCATCGAGCCCTAGGCCACACCACAGAGAGTTACAGCTGCAGACTGAGTGCGTCCCAGTGGGGATGATCTATAAAGGTTGAGGGTCTCACAGCCTCCAAACCCGAAAAATAGTGTAACCAGGCCCTGGTTACACTATTTTCCGGCCTAGGCCCTATAGTCCTATAGTAATAGGCCCCTAGGCCCCATTCCTTCTCAAACCTCTGCACTTTCTTCCCTGCAGGATGCAGGTGCTCGAGTTGCCCGCGTCTCCGAAGAGAGCCAGTAAACGAGCCAGATTGCTTCGTGGCGTGCTGACTTGGGAATCAGTGCAAACTGGAAGCCATGGGACGCGCTCGGAAGGAAGACTACCGGGCTGCGACTGACGACAAGAATCCAGGCCATCTTGAACCTGGTCACAGCTCACTTCTGGCGAGCATCGCTGCAGCAGAAGAAAAAGAAAGCAGGCAGTTCGAGCACGGCCGCTTGCATCAAAAGAGTTGTTGTCGACGTCAGCCAGAATCCCTGCCGCAGGGCATTCAGCAGTCAGGCTGGCTTGCTCAGGAAGCTTACAACATCGTCCAGGCTCTATCACATGGGCCTCGACCGCGCCTTGCTCTTCATCGAGCACCTGTGGTTGCAGGGGCATAACCCCGTGACAACAGTTGTACCAGCTGACCTCCGGCCACGGGACCTGCAGGTCCTGACCGGAGAGGGGATGAGTGTGCCGTGTATCGGCATGTGCATATATTGCCTTGATCAGATCAAGTCATTCCCCAGGAACACTGCGTGATGTAGTCATGGTAGCGTTTGAACTTCCGGCTATGCGTTTAGCGCTGCAGCATGTTGCGGAGCACATGTGTTGAGCACTTTCATTCATCTGCATCACACAGTAAAGAGGCGGCCCAGAGGGCAACCGTTTCACCTTTGCCAATTGGAGCGGTGCCTGCGTGCGCTGCAGCTGTACAGATTGCTAGCCTGCCAGACTCGCGGCAACCAGAATAAAGCGAGGACGCTTTACGTCGTGACAAGTGCTGCAAGCTTTGCAGGAAGGCTGGTGCTTCTCACATTTTTGCGCTCCGCTCTTTCCAAACTTTTGCGTGCCAGCAGGTGTTAGAGTTTCTTAGTGCCCAGGGCTTTTGCTTCCCACGACGTCATCGTAGTGACTTCGTGTGCTAGCATGGCGCCGAAAAAGAAGGCTCCTAAGGCGAAGGCCACAGCAAGAAAGGTCGTGGGCAAGAAAGCTGCTGCTTCGAAGGCCACGTCAAAGCAGAAGAAGGACATGGTGTGCGTGGTTTTTTGGTAAAGGCTAGATTCTAGGTTCTAGATTGCAGATGCCCAAAGCTCGACGTGGCAGCAAATGAAGGATTGGCTGATTGGTTATAATCCTTGAGTAAGGTGGTCTGTAATCTAGGTGAATTTTCCTTGCAGACGCTTTGCCCAGCGCAAATGTTTGGCAGGAGCCGGTGGATGAAGGATGGGGGACCCCTGAAGAGAACGCTGCTGATTCGAGTGCCCCGTCTGAGTCCATGCCGCCTCCTCCGGTTCCTACAAGAGTTGCCAAGAAGCGTGCCGCAAAGGGCACAGAGGTCAGCGAGTCTAAGCCCAAGGCGTTGAAGTCGGGTAGCTGGTCTCCTTGCCTGGTTTGCCTGAAGACTCCACAGGCCAGCGTCATCATAGTGAGGGATACTTGCTAGTCTATCCTTAAAGCGGCGCTATTCTATCCACTATCCTATGCTCTCCAACTTCTTCTTTGCAAGAGCGCTGCTAGCTGATCTCTGATAGATAGGTCCAGGTAGGTAGCTGCTGAGTCATTCTAACTGAATATCGCTTCTTCCCACAGTTTTGAAAGCATTGATATTTTCCAGCATTCCAGTGAAGGACGGTGTGGCTTGGGCGGCCTACGACAAGAAAGGGCAGCCAAGCGGGCCAGGCTGTCTCGAGGACATGTCGACCGCCATGGCGTGGCCGCAGATGTCTTTCGAGGCGGTGTCGGTTGAGTACCACAACAAGAAGTCAGACTTCAAGGTGCAGTTCCTTGCCTGTAAGAAGATTGTGCAGCAAAGGGCAAAAGGGTTGCCAGGTCCTGCTTTCCGGCCAGAAAGCACAGTGGCAACAACCTATTCCCATGGCTACACAAAACCAAGTGAAGCTCTCCTTGAGGATGGAGTAACGATCCTGAAAGGTTGGTTTCTCAACCTTCGTAACCTTCCACTGCCAGAAGTCCTGAGCATGAGGAAGTACAGAGTGGAGAGGACCGTGACTTTCGGTCACCAGGAACACGTTCTCAAGGCAGGCCAGCAGTTGCGACAACAACAGGGAGCAGACGTTCTGTCTCTGTTGGTGGACACGCAGTTGAAGACCTTGCCAAGTTTCGTTGCCAAGAACAACAGAGCGCAAATGGCGGCGCCGGACTTTGCAGAGCTTGCGCAGCGTGCAGAGCAGGACAGTTCAGGGTCCAGACTCCAGGGCCTAGGGTCGCCTAGGGACTAGTAAGGCAAGTTTTGTTAGACGTTGCGAGGGTTGGATGTGTGTGTGCGTGTGGGTGTTCTTCAGGGCTGTCGTGGATTGTAGGTCGAGCTTCAAACTAGACTTGTGCTCGCGTCTGACAATGTCTTACATATGCCATATGTCGCCTATATCTAGATCTATATTCTATATCCTACAATGGTCCTACATTGCCTACATGTTGAAGGATGCCAAGGAGGACGAGCCCGAGGAGGACGTGGAGGAAGAGGGCGAGGAAGAGGAACCTCGCGAGGTGGACGAAGTGTTGGAGGATGAGGAGGACGACGACACGGCGAGCATGGCCAGTGGGGTGAGCGCAAGGAGCGGCGCGAGCCATGTCTCCATGCTTTCACGTGGGCGTGGGGGCGCAGCAGTGAAAGCCCCGTCCTTCGCGTTGGGGTCAGTGGGCGTGGCAGCGGCGAGCGTGAAGAAGCCGACGAAGAAAGCAGCCAAGAAGAAGAAGGGCGAGGAAGCAGGCGAGGACACGGAGGCTGTCACGGAGGCGCCAAGCGCATCCGAGACAGCAGCGTTGCAAGCGGCCATCAAAGCAGACGCCGTGCTGAAAACCATCCACAACGCGCTAGACACGGACGAAGTCACGAACTGCTTCACGGGCCTGCTCCCAGAGTTGCGCATCGAGACTCGCGAGAAGTATGGCCACCAAATCCGAGGGGCGGGGAAGGGATAAGTTCGGGGCTTGGGGAGGGCCAGTTTTGGGAGGATGCTTCTGATTGGATTTGGTTGGGTTGTTACATCTATGTGTTTAACTGTTACATCTACGTGCTTAGGGGCTTAGGCTCCTGCATCCAGTCACGAGGTCCAGGGTGGAGTGTCTGATTTGGCGTTTGCTTGATAGGCCAAGGCGTTGGATGTCATGACTGTTTCCTTGCCCCCTGGTCCCAGATGTGTGGTCTAGATGAATGATGAAGGAGCCTCAGAGGGTTTTTAGGACCATGCGAAGGGTGGGGGACGCTGCTTGAGCGCATTCAGCGGACAGAGTGTCACAGCAATGTAGTGCGAGTAGTGTAGTAGCGTAGTCATAAGGCAGTAACGAAGTACAGATGGTAGGTTGGGTTATTAACGGGATTCCTTGCGACTCAGAATTTCTAGTGTGGAGGGCAAGAGCAAGACAGGTTCGTGAGAGTCTGTGTGAGCAACTTACTGCAATTCCCTTTCATCATGCAGGCGCGTACTTTGTTGAAGAACATGCAAGAAGCCAAGAAGAAGGAGGCTCCAATGCTCAAGAGTCGCCTGGAGCAAGTGGAGACCTTGCAGCTGCTCTTGCACAACAAGATCAAGTCCTTCCCCTTCAAGGAGTTGGTGGCCCACGTGAGCGTCCTCCAGAAAGGATCCATCACGATGCCGCCCGACATCATGCTCCACGTCTTCAGCCTTCAGCCGCCAGTGTGAGGACGCTTTCGCACGCTTGTTGGAGGCCCGGGGCCGAGCAGAATCAGAGCCCCTCATCCTGGAGATTGCCAGCCGTTTGGCAGTTTGGGAGGAGCCAGAGGCGGAAATGAACCAGTTGAAGTTGACGGCCGCAGTGATGCATGCTTACTTCCAGGACGACGTGGCGCACCAGAAGCGGAAAGGGAAGCTTTCTCAGGAGCAGGCCGCGACGAAGACGGAAGAGCTTGCCCAGGCCGGCTGGGCATCAATGCATGGGTAGTGATAATACCACATGGGCAGGGATTAGCGCCTTGCGGCGCTTTCGGAAAATTTCAAGATTTTGAAATCGGTGTATTTTCTAGGGTTCTACTACGACCTGCTTTCCCATAATCCTACAACCGTGTACTGAAGTGTGATGTGTAGTCAGTGTAAGGAGTATGGTGTGTAGTGTAGTGTCTAGTGCATAGTGTGTGCTGTGCAGTGCGTAGCGTGTAGTGCAGTGCGTAGTCATAGTCTGCAGTGTGCAGGGTGGTCTTGTAGTGCGCTCTGCGCTGCAGTGTGTGTTGGAAAGGCTCTGGCGGACGCGATCATGACAGGGTTCGGGAACGACTGCTTCTTTCAAATCATCGATCAAGGAAGAGAGCAATTCCTGAAACTTCTCAAGTTTTGCCAGGAGCTCCAGAAGAGGCTTCGCGCTGGCAAGGTGGCCACAGCAGAAGAGGCAATGACCCCAATTGACAATCTGCCCACGCAGTTGCAAGAGACGTGCAAGCGTCTTGACGCGTGCCTCTCTGGACTCTACCACTTGCTCGAAGCTTTGCCAGACGATCCGCAAGGAGAGAATGGTGCTGCGCTGGTCAAGCTCTGGAAGTACAACGGGAAGGGTGGCACTGAAACCTTGCTGTGAGAAGCCCTTCATCGATCCAAGTTCTACCAGGGATACTTCCAGGATTTCCTGTCCAGGGGCACCTACACTGCTCAGACAGCTCCTAAAATCAGGCAGCTTGCGAAGGACCTCGAGGGCGCTGGCATGGATAAGTTTCAGCTTACCCAAGAAGCCATTTCCAAGATCCCAGAGTGGCGAAAGTCATTGCGAGCTGGGGCACTGGCAGACTTTGAGAGGGTGCTGGTTGTCGCGCTGATGACGGCTTCTGAGGAAGTCAGCAACCCCCGGAATGAGGCTGCTCCAGCTGCCTGTGGCATCTCAGCTTCCATGCTCGAGACGCTAATGGCCGGCTTGAGTCTCTTCCCTGACAAGCCAGGTCTGACACAGATGCATGGCAAGCTTCAGAAGTTCCTGGCTGCTGCGTCAAAGGACCTTGTCAAGGCCGACTTGGACACCATGCTGCAGTCCTACCCTGCGAGCACAGAAGCCGAGGATGTGAAGGCTAAGGAGCTGGACTTGCCATTCCAGTCTGACGAGCACTCCTGGAAGAAGTTGCGCTCCTTGTCCGACTGCTTGAGCAAGTGCGCAGACGTGGCCATGGATGAGGAGATGCAGGGCTTGTTCTTCCGAGCGCTATGGTGGCATTTCAAGTTCTGCAGCCCGTACCTGAAGTCCTTGGATGAAAAGCAGGCCTGGCTTTTTCAGAGTGCATTTTTCCACTGAGGCTTTCTTTCAATGTAACTGTAGAGTGTAGTGTAGGGCATCGTGTCGCGGAAAGCGTGTAGAGTCCTGTTTGTTTGGTGACTAGCGGCTGGTAATTGTTACTGTTGCTTGTTTTCCCTAGTAAGGTCACGCAAGGCCTGAGTGCGTAGGGGAGGGCTGTATGTAGTTGTGGGAACCTCAGATTTCCAAGTATTTAGTTCAGTCATTAGGCAGCTAATCAAATACGCAGGGACGTAAAGCAGCCGGTTCCTGGAAAGTAACATAGTATCCGTTAGTTAGTATCCCTCTGCGAGCAAGAAGGAAGAGCCTCCTGCTTCGCAGACCGTCCTGGCTGGCCTCAAGGTCTTGGAGAAGATGATTGATCGCATGGACGCTTCTCGTGCAGAGTCGCAGTGGTACAAGGTGGCTGCGCAGGCTGTTTCCCACATCTTGAGCTTGAAGGAGTCGCTGTATGAATGGCATCAACTCGGACCTGATGATCAGCAGCGGCTGATTCGTGACAGCAGCGGTGCTCGTGCAGAGCATGTTCTTCTTTCCGGGCAGAAGTGTCGTAGTTCCATACTTGCCCTTGCAAAGCTTGAGCAACAGATGGGACAGGCGACTTGGGACCCACGGAACTTCGAGCTGGCCCAGTCTCTCAACAGCGTGATGAGGAATGCCAAGGCCTTGAAATCGCTCGTGCCAGCCAAGTTGCAGGCTTACAGAGCAAGAATCGACAGTCAGATCGAGAAGCTCTCAGCGTCTGTCATGGGCTTGCGCACCGAGTCCCAGTCATGGAAAAAAGGCCTTGACGAGGATGCTCCCTTGAAAGCGATCTTGACAGCGGGGGCCGCAACCATCAGCAAGTTGGATGGAGATAATGCGGACGCTCAGATGGCGCAGTTGGACAAGGATCATTGATGTTCGGTGGGTTTGGATTCGATGGACGCTTTATTTATTTTATTAGTAGAACCCCAACCTGTAACCCCCTACACTACACCATAAACCCCAGCGAGGCTACTTAACTCAACCATGCAATGCAGGAGGTCGATGCTGTGGAGATCTTCATGAAGAAGGCGACCGGCTTCATCGAGCAAGAGGCCAGCGAGGGCATGAAGGAAGTGATCAAGGAGTGCCGTGACCTCCAGAAGAAGGTTCAGGGCTTGCTTTGCGAGTGTCTCCTCGTCTTCGGGTTGAACAGCAAAGTGAAGGCGACCGGCGATGAGGTGCTGACGAATGAGTTAGCCGAGATTAAAAGCAATGCCGTTTCTCCTTCTTTGATCCACCCTGTGCTGCTTAAGGCAGCTGAGGAGAGGGTGATGCCTGCTTGAGGCATTTAGGGAAGTTGAGCAAAGCTTGCTGCCCACAGTTGTGCCGGCTGGTATGCTGGAGGCAAACCAGCCAGTGCGCAGTGACCCGTGCTGTCATGACGTGCCTACCTACCTACTCAGACATTCTAGCAGTAGCAGATGTACTCAATCAGTACTCCGTAATTGTTTGACAGGCTGTGTTCAAGGGGTGCTGAGAGGATCCCACCACAGATACACACAACAGAGAGGGAGTGTAGTGTAGTGACTATTGGTTGCGTTCTGCAGCAATCGAGCTCACAGGAGTGCCAGGCATCATATCCAGCATCCATCTTCTCAGCACTCTTGCTGAGGTGCAAGCTGTGCCACGCCTCTTGCTGAGCAACCCCCAGCCCTGCTCTAAGGCATGGTGTTGGTTTACGTCCAGACTCTAACTCTAGCAGCTAGCTAGTAATAGCGGAGGCTGGCAGAGGCTTCCCATCAGGAAACAAGGGTTACTTAATCGGTCACTTGCGCAAGCACCGTGACTCGTGTCAGAAGATGACGCACCACAGACTTTGCCTGCCATTCTTGGAGCACCTCATGTTTGCTCCACGCGCAGCAAAACAATCGATTCATTATTGTGATTCTGGTGTGCTCTGCGCTTCGTGTTTTGACGCTCCTCGATATTGCTTTGTGTTCGGGGCATGGGGAGACTCACTAGTCTAGACGATCTGCAACTACCCCCCAAGCCTCAAACAAGCATGGAGCCTGTACAGTAGAGTGTTCCCTGTAGCCACGAAAAAATACATATAGGCCATAAGCATAATAGCAATTCAAAATACCATTGGGATCTGTTCAGCTCCATGTTTGTTTGGGGAGTGCAGTGTTAGAGTATAGAGACTCGACTATAGGCTAGCTGCTAGCTGCTAGCTCGCAGCTCTTGATCCCACTGAGTAATGCGTGAGGAACATTCCTCTGGCGAGCGCATAGGGCATGGGGTTTAGGGTGGGTTTTGGGCGTATATTATGGGTCTATGGGTCTATGGCTATGGGCTTAGGGTTTAGGGTTTAAGGTTGTAGTGTAGTAACTTGTGGGCACTGTGAATTCGATATTGGGCCCCTTCGACCCAAACCCCAAACAATAGAGTCATCCACCCGAAAATTTAGATTGGAGAAGATGCGGGCTATGCCGAAGTATGCCATGTACGCAACTACTGCCTACCTATTAAGCCAAGCAATGAAGGGCCCCTTGCCCTCTTGTGGCATCGATCCCTATCCCCGACTATATTCCCAGCGCTTTCGTGCGCGCCGTATGTTGCCTGGCTTGGGATCAGGTAGGATGTGTCTAGGGTTTAGTTTAGGGGGCGTAGGGCTTAGAGCTTAGGGTTGAGGGGCTTATGGGTTTACGGGTCTTAGGGTTTAGGGTTTTGGGTTGTACGATTCAACGAGATTTACCCATACTATGACCTTTCAAGTTCTAGGCTTTTTGACACCAAGCTCATGTTACTCCTGTTGGTGTAGCACACTTTGAAAGCCTCAGTTACACGAGCAAATTCAGGGTATCAGTGTTGAATAGTTGGGAATCTTGGTAGGTTGAAGCATAAGCCAACAGCTATCAGCTATCACAAGCATGCGCTCAAAAAAGGCTGGTCGTGGATAAGCCCTAACTGCTACTGCTAATGTTTCTGATTCCCGATAGCTTGGGTAGCTTGATTTTTTAGGATTTGAGGCTGCATGCGTGGCTACTCGTTTATTTGGATGTTGCCAGATAAACAATCTCCTACTGATTCCACCAATAAGGCACAACAATCCACAATAGAGAACCATGAAGTAAACCCTGAATCAACCCAAAAACAAACATGAAAACAATTCAACACCATAAGAAAACTAAAAAAATCCATAAAAATCCATTAAAAAAACCATAATAAAAAACATAAAAAAACCATAAAAAAAAACCTTAAAAAACCCATAAATCAACAATGCCAGAAAACATCCAGACCATAAACAAACCATAAAAAAAACATAAAAAACCATAAATGAAAAATGCAAGAAAAAGTCAAACCATAAAAAAACCATAAATCCAAAGTGTAAATAAACCATAAAAAAAGTGTAAAAATAATTATTTGATGATTTCTGGTTCTTGCTGCAATAGATGGTCTCAACGCTAGCCCCTGACGAGGCCGCGAAGGAGGAGTACTGAAATGTACTTGTCCTGAGCA